TCTATATGGGGGGAAGGGGAGAAGATAACATGTAAACAGGTAATAATGTGAAGTAGTAGAGAGCATTAATAATTCAGGGTATCCGGAAGAATTCCCCAAAGGCAATGGCCCATGAACATTTAAGGATATTTGGTGATTCTAAGAGGCCAATGAAGAGAGCGCATTCCAAACATGGGGGACAGCCTGGATCTCTAAGCAGGACTTGACCCAAGAGGAGCAGAGAAGGAGGGATCCCAGTATATACACCCTTGCAGCCAATGTTCTTCTTGACCTCCACGGCTCTTGGGGAGGATGGATGTAAGGTCCAAAAGGATAGAGATGGGATAATGATAAGTTCAGAGAATGCTAAGAAGGCCATTATGATTCAAAACAAATGATAAACCTGAAAAGATAGGCTGGAACCAGATTGCGAATGCCAAGCTAAGTGTTTTATATTGGCAACTAGGTGGTACACTGGATACAGTACCAGGCCTGGGGCCAGGTAGATTCCTCTCCTTGAGTTCAGATCTGGCCTTAACTACTTACTAGCTGTGTGACCCTGGACAAGTCACTTAATCCTCTTTGCCTCAGTTTCCTCATCTGTAAAATGGGCTGGAGAAGGAAGCGGCAAACCATTCCAGTATGTTTGCCAAGAAAACCCCAAGTAGGGTCATGAAGAGTCAGATACAATTGAAAAATGACTGAACTGAAGGATTTTATGTTTTGTTCTGTGGGCAATAAGGAGCTACTGAAAATTCTTAAACAGAAGAGGCCCAGAGTTCATGATGAGGATGGTATAGAAGCAACTAAAAATAAATAAATATTTTTTTAAAAAATAAAATAATTCTTAAATTAAAAAAGAACTCTTGCTTAAAATTGACCCTTCTGCTCTCCTTCCTTGCTCAAAGCAAAACTTTGCAAAACTACTGCCCAATGCCTGGGTTTTAAATTTTCCCCCTCTCCTTCCCCCTCCCCTAAGATAGCCTGCAGTCTGATATAGGCTATACATGTACAATTATATTACACATATTTCTACATTGGTCATGTTGTGAAAGAAGAATCAGAACAAAAGGGAAAAGCCACAAGAAAGAAAAAAAAAGAGAGAAAATACTATGCTTCAATCCGCATGCAGATTCCATGGTTCTTTCTCTGGATGTGGATAGCATTTTCCATCATGAGTCTTTAGGAACTGTCTTAGATCATTGCATTGCTCAGAAGAGCTAAGTCTATCAAAGTTGGTCATAGCAGAATATGGCTGTTACTGTGTACAGTGTTCTCCTGGTTCTGCTCACTTCACTCAGCATCAGTTCATGTAAATCTTTCCAGGTTTTTCTGAAACCCGCCTTTAAGCAGGAGTTCTTAATTTGGAGTCCAGGAACTTTAAAAAACAGTATCTTGATTACTATATTTCCATGTAAGTTCCTTTGTTTTATGTATTTAAAAACATTATTCTGAGAAGGGGTCCATAGGCTTTACCAGACTGCTAGAGGCAGCCATGACACAGAAAAGGCTAAGTACTCCTTGTCTAGGTCTTAAACTTATGGTACTGCAAAAATCAAGCTGTGTCACCTATGATAAAGAAAAATTGGGGGTCTGAATTTGGAGTCAGAGAGTTTGGGATCAAATCCCAACTCTTCCATTTGCTCCCCATGTGACTTTGGGTGAGATACTTAGTCCATCTAGGACTCAATTTCCTCATCTATAAAATGAAGAAGTTGGACTAAATGGTCTCTAAGGTTCTTTCTGTCTAAATCGATGATCTTATAGCTTCTTAATATTTCCTTGTTTTGTGGTTGTGATTGTTTTGTTTTTATTGTTGTTCATTATCCCTCAGCATTTTACTTAAATGGTTTTTAGAATGTTCCTCTTACAGCTCCATCAGGGGAGACTTCAAGGGGAAAACACATTTTCTTTTGTCCTTGTACAGAATGCCAAATCCTAACCATGTAGTTATGCAAGATTCCCCTTAGAACTACAGAATCAATTTCAGAGCTGGGAGAGATCCTTAAGGATTTTCAAGTCCTACTCCCTCATGTTATAGCTGAGTATACTGAGGCCGAGAGAATGGATGAAGGGATGATAAAACATTTATTAAGCACTTACTATACTGTGCTAAGTGCTAGGTATTATAAATGTAGTCTTGGTGCAGCTTTAAGCTTTAATAGCTTAAAACTATATGAAGAATTTTGGGACACTGTACAAGTGAATACAATCTCTTTCCTCAAGAAGCTTAAATTCAAGACAGAAAGTATAGGGGAGTGGTGGCCAGTGTTTTGATAGTATTGATTTGATTCTTTTGTTCAGAACCAGAGTTGGAAGGATGGTGGGGGGAAAGGAAGGGGAGAGTGGTATTTAGAGAAGGGTATATGCAAAGTAGCATGAATATGGTTGAAGAGTGATATGGTGTGTCTGAGTCTAGGCTAGATATGGTAAATATTCACCAATAAGAAGCCTAGGATCTCAAGAGAGATGAAAAGACCTAGTCAAGGTCACACCCTAGCTGGGGGCAAAGCTGGTGCTAGTACCCAGCTCCTAGGGCAGTATAATATCTACCATGTCCTGATGACTCCTTTCTCTGAAGTATCATGGGCTTCCACAGAATCACAGAATTATAGAACCCCAAAATTCCTACAATTGGAAGGGATGCCAGGTGCCATCTAGGCCAACCAATAACCAAAAGGAATCCCCACTATATAACATACCTGGCAAATGGTCTTCCAGATTCTACTTTAAGACCTCCAATGAAGATGAACCCACCATTTCCTTTTTGGACAGCTCTCATTGTTAGAAAGTTTTTGCTGACTTTGTTTAAGCCTAAAATTTTCCTTTTTGCAGCTTCCCATCGTTGCTTCTGGTTCTGCTCTCTGGAACCAAACAAAAGAAGTTTAATACCTCTGTCACATGACAGCCCTTCTACATGCTTGAATACAGCTTTCATGTACTTGCTCCCCACTCCGATCCCTGTCATCTCTTTTTCAAGATAACATCCCCACTTCCTCCTATTTGTCCTCTTATGGCATGGCCTTAAAGCCATTCATCATCCTATTTTTTTCACCATTCAATGCTGTCTAGGTTTTCAGTGCCTTTTTAAAACTATGACGTCCAGTGCTGAACACTATATTGCAGAGAAAAGAGGTACTATCATCAACTTATTCCTGGAAGGTATATAAACACATATATACACATTGTATGTATATACACACACACACACACACACATATATACATAGATATACATATAGAGGTATATATAGATATATATAGCTATATAGGTGTATATATATACATATATATACATACATATATATATGTATGTATATGTGTGTGTGTGTGTGTGTGTGTGTGTGTGTGTGTATGTCTTAATTGCAGTTCACTTTATTTAACTGACCCCATTCTTCTTCTTAGGACTTATTTAGAAAAATAGAAACACAAATCCACTCTCTCAAATTCTTGCTCACTTGCTTCCCTGTGAACCTGAGTTCAAATCCTGACTGACATTTAGTTGCTTTTTGACCTTAGATAAATCATTTAACCTCTATTTGCCTCAGTTTCCTCAACTACACAATGGGCATAATAATAGCACTTATCTCTTAGGGTTGTGTGGGGTTCAAATGAGTTAATATTTGTGAAGGCACATAGTAGGTGCTATATAAATGCTACTTCTTGTTGTTTCCAAATGAAGGGTAGTGGTAATTTTTTGTTTTGTTATTGTTGTTGTTCAGTTGTTTTAGTTATGTCCAGCTCTTCATGACCCCATTTGGGGTTTTCTTGACAAAGATACTAGACTTTGCCATTTCCTTCTCTAGCTCATTTTTCAAATGAGAAAACTGAGGCAAACTAGGTTAAATGATTTGCCCAGAGTCACATAGCTAGTAAGTTTCTGAGGCCAGATTTGAATTCAGGAAGATAAATCTTCCTAATTCTACACCCAGCACTCCAATTGATTAATATAGGCATATTAGCTACTGATGGTACATTGAAAACAGGATTGAACTTTTAATCAAAAGACCTGGGTTTGAGTTGCTCTGTCCTATACTAGGTATGTTGTCATAAACAAGTCAGTGAATCTATCTAAGTTTCAATTTTTTCAGGTAATAATTATACCTTTCTTCCATACTTCATGGGGTCTTTTTGAGGGTCTTACAAGATACTAAATGTGAATTCAAGGATGGAGGATTGACCTGCTTGTATGCTCTGTCATAGGACTAGCCTTCAGGGGATTGCCAAGCCCACATGGCAGAGGGGAATGAGGCTACATGATAATACTTTGTAACTTAAATTGCTATCCAAATATCAGGTATCATCATTATAGCTTTTGTCTTTAATGTGTTTATAAGAAGTCTGGAGGATATAGAAGTAAATAAAGACCTGGGATGTTCATTTGACTCCATGGTCTCAACTTCACATTTAAAGGTGGTTGAAACAAATTTTACTGTTTCTCTGCCTCCAATACCTGAATTTATGTCCTCATTTAATATTATGGAGTATCTTGGGATTAATGAGCTGACATAATTAAATTTGATGTATTTAATTTCTTGCCTAACCTCTATTGTTGTGGAAGCTGTATTCTATATTGCATAAGGCTAGAGTTTGGGACAGGACCAATGTCCACCTCATAATCTAACCATAATGCCACTCTGTCCCAAGATAACTAAATAGATAGATAGATAGATAGATAGATAGATAGATAGATAGATAGACAGATAACATCTAATAAGTTCATATAGATATATAAAACTAAAGTGTCCTGAATTAAACTTTAATTCTTTATTATCAGAATAATTTGCCTAGCCCAAATTCACCTATCATTTTCTGTTTTGCAATCTTCCCTAAATGAAGCTATTTGTATTTTATCATTTTTTAATTCTTTATGTTAATTATTTTTGTAGAATGGCTGATATTATTCAATTAGATAGTCTGTATCATGATTATCATACCATTTTGATGAATACCTTTCAGAAAATAAAACTGATTTAGATTTTACATTAAGCCAACTATAAATATACCTGTTCTTTGTTGCAGCTATCACTGAAAAGAAGAGGAAGTAAAGACTTGCAGAAATCTGATAAAAAGTCACAGCAGACTCCTACAGAGGTAAGTTGATACAAAATGCAACTATCACAAATCCTTCCTGGTAACACAACAGACGTGTTCAGATACTTCCTCACTGATTATTAAAATTGCAACAGCTCCATTAGTTAATCAGTTAGCTCTGTGTGTTTTTTTAAAAATATATTTCTCATTAAATAAACTGGAGAAATCTTTTCCCATAAGCTTTTTCTCATTTTTCCTTCTCTATGTCAAGCCCCTGAAACATAAATAAACTTCACAATTAGCTGGCTATACAACATATAAACAGAAACAAATAATAAAACTAACATATAAGTAATGGTTTACTGCTTATCAAGGCATAAGAAAGCAAGCACCCTGAGTCACTTCTATCACTGTTAAGTGCTAACTTCTTAATTCTGGAAATACAAGCCCACATTCAGTTTTCTCAGAAGACCAATTAAATTCTCTTCTCGAGAATTCTCTTCACATTTTTTCTCTATAAAATAAGAGTAAAATAAAAGTTCTCTCAGAAAAGAAGTTATCATAGTCCTTTCCTTTTATTCAGTCTCTCTCTAGAATAAGACTTCATTTATCATTCCCAAGATTCCATTGCCTCTTAAAGAAACAGCAATAGTATCCATAGTGTCTATGAGAGAGGCTATTGAAGCTGGTGCTACTACATATGTTTATATGTAGGCATAGATGTAGGGTAATATGTATATGTCCATAACAAATATTTAATTAGAGTATACATGAGTACATGTATTACTGGTTCAATGCATTCATTGAATCACATAATTTCAGAGTTGGAAAAGAGCACAGAGATCATATGTGACCTAGAATCCCTTCTATCATCCATAGACAGTCATCTAGCCATTGTTTAAAGATCTCCAATACGGATAAAACTTTCACTCCAAGGCATTCCATTCCATTTTATGTGTACTGATTATTTGAGAGTTTTTCCTTATATCAAGTATAAATCTGCTATTTTGCAATTTGCACCCATTGTTCATAATTCTGTCCTCTAACATTAGGAGAAACTAGTTCCTCTTTCACATAACACTGTAAGACAGCTATCACGGTCCCAAGTCCTTTCTTCCCCAGGCTAATTATCTCTATTTCCTTCAGCTGATCTTCTCATGGTTTGAAGTCTTTCCCTGTCTTGATTGCCCTCCTCTAGATGCTCTCCAGCTTATCAAAGCATTTTTTAAAATGTGCCTCTTAGAAATGAATACAGTACTCCAGATATGGACTGTCACTTTCCTCACTCTAAACACTACGCCTCTTTTAAATCAGATTAAAATTGCATCAGCCCTTTTGTAGTTGCCATAAATCATGGTTAACTTATAATTAGTTTGCATTCAATTCAGTTCAATAAACATTTTATTGAGCTCCTACTATGTGCCAGGCATTGTCTTAAGTGATGGGGATACAAATAAGAAAAGGAAAGTCTCTGCTGTCAAGGAGCTTACAATCTAATAGGGGAAGATAACAGGAAAGAAAGCTGGAAATATGTCAGGGGTGGGGAGACAACAGGGGCATCTTGTTCATGGAGCTGAAACCAAGCAGAACTGCAGATGGAGACTCAGATCTTTATCAGCCAAACTGATGTGTGTCCATACCTCTCCCATCTTGTACTTGTATGGATGGTATGTTTGCTTTTAATGGTATTGATTTTTGCTTCTCTTCTTCCAGATTATCCTGTTCTTCACTTTGGTATTTGCATTCTCAATAATTTGTCTTCTCTTTTGTGTCTTTAGTGAAACTTGGCCATTGTTCTGCCAATTATTTCTGCTGTGCAGGCCATAAATTTTACTCTCACAATTCTCATTTCTCTTTCAAACCACTCAGGAACAGCGTTGTGGTTCTATATTCTCAAAATTCAGTGTCCTCTGCCTCATCAGATGTTGAATCATTTTCCTTTGTTTTGGAGTATTTATTCATAGATGTCTGAACTTGTTTACGAGATTTGCAAGCCATATTTCTTCCTGCCCTTAATGTCTTCCCTGTTGGTTTATCTGCTTATGTGCAAGATCTTTATGTTTTTTTTCTTCCTGAGATCTTTAGTAATTTCAGTCTTTTTATCATTATTCTCCCCTCTCACTTCTAGTGGTTCCTCTGGGAGCTGAATTTCTGAGTCTCAGCCTCCAGTTCCCTGACCTACATCTCTGCCCCAAGTGACTTTTGGTGGGGACAGAACTGGTTCCATCAGGATGCTGAGCTCTTTCCTTCAGGCTTAGTCAGTGCCACACAACTCCCCCAAAACACAATGTACTGCCAGGTTCTCTCTGTTCCTCAGTTCTCTAGATCGGAATTACAGAGCTCTACTACACTGCTGCTATCGCAGCCTGATCAAGTTTCTGCCTTGGAGTTTGGATCTCCTGACACTGGCAAGAAAGAGGTTAGGGTATGGGGCTAGGGGATGGGGTTGCATCCTTTTGCAAATGCAGGGGGTTGGATTGACTAGTGAAGCCTTACTGCCTGGAGCCTGGTGAATGGTAGCGGAACAGGGGGCTGAGTGAGGTGAAATAGATGTTATAGCTCACAGAGTCTTTACCTTTGGGTTCTTGTTGTCCTAGACCAGGGAGACAGCTGAAATTGCTTTATCTCTGACATATACTTTCTATTTTGGAAAGATTTGAGAGTTTGTAGGGATCAGAGAAAATGTTTAGTCCTCTATCTTGTTGTACACATGACCCCATTTTGTAAGGTTATTTATTGAACCCAAATAGACCTTTATATTTATCTCCATCAAATCTCACCTCATTGCTCCATTGCTAAAGGAAAACACAGCAACCACCCAAAGTAACAAACAGATCTGTCAAGAATTTTTAGAATAAAAAAAAAAGAATTTTTAGAATACCAACTCTGTCATCCGACCAGTTCGCCACCCCTCCCAATTCTGTGTCATCTGTATACTGTATAAGCGTTCCATTTTTTCCTTTATCCAAGCCATTGATTAAAATGCTAAACTGCAGAATCAAAGGAATATCCTTGAGGAACTTCTACTAGTGATTTTCCTTCAGTGGAACTGGCCTACTAATGACTGTTCTTTGAGTCTAGACATTCAATCAGTTCTGAATCTACCTCCCTAAAACTACTGTCTATTTCTTCATTTTATCCAAAGAAATGGTATGAAAGACTGTCAAATGCTTGTAGAAATCTAAGGAGACTCTGTCTATGGAACCCAGATGATCTAATAACCTAATAATTAAAAAAAATAAAATTACTCTGGCATGATGTGTTCTCAGTTAATAATAATAATAACACATCTTAAGATTTCCAGAGCACTTAACATATATCATCTCTTTTGATCTGAGGCCACAGGCTTTACTTCTGGCTCCTTTCTTGGATTTTCTACTAGAAATTTCTGGGTGTCTCAACGGCTATTCCCTTTCCTACATGGTAGCCATGCTAAATATTATCTACTTTAGCAGATACATGTAGGCAATTTTCCCATTTGCCCTCTGTTCTTTAACTGAGAGATTTTTTGATAAGATTTATAAGGATCCATATATGTTCATATATGTATATGTATATGCATATATACACATATATATGCATATAATTTTTACCAGTCTTTACTATTTAAAATACTTTAAATTTATTTTATATGCTATGAAGATTCATTGGATTTTTACAGCTTTCTTATTATCAAAAAAATTGAGCAGATTTACAAAGGTAGAATTGTTTTCCCATTACTGAGTAAAATTTCCACAAAATTAAATTGATTTCATGTAAGGGTTCCAAATTGTGTTGTTTTCCATTCTCTTATTTCTATACCTTCTTTACCATAATGTATTTTATCCTTATGGTAAATATTTTTTTCTGACATATACATTCCCTGGTTTTTCTGACCCTGAGAGTCTTTATTTCCAAGATCCTCTTCTCTTTTCTCTTTCTTTTTAGAGCTCTTTCTCCGATAATGTACTTTATCTACTTTTTTTTCCTCATTAATTTTAATTAACTTGCTCCAAATGTCTTTCACTCTCATACAAAGTCCAGTTTATTGCTGTATATCCTTCTTCTTCCATCCTTTGGGCTAGTGCTATCTTATTTATCCTAGAATTTTATGTTGGTTTTAACCAGCATTTTATGCAAATCATCCCACGTGGCATCCCCGCTGAGTCCTCATTCTATTTCCCTCAACCTCAATAATAGTTTTAATTTCTCAATCCTCTAACCTATCTCTTAAATGACCACTTCTTTTATCTGGTTGAGGATCTATACCCAGCCTATAAGAAAGGATGAAGTCAGATATGAACACATTATTGTAACCCCATTGTGTTTTCTTGTAGTGTTTAGTATTAACACACATAAAAAGAGTATATTCTACTTCAGGGCAGCAGTAGAAAGGAAAGACCTTTGTTTTTTTCTCATAGGCCAGGCTAGGTATAGGTCCTCAACCAAAAATTTGAGGCAGTCTATCATGTACATTTACGGAGAATTATTCCTAACTCCTTTACAGGGCAAAAAACAGAGTAGAGTAAAAAGAAGTTTGGAGTCAGAAGACCTGGGTTCTTGTCTTAGACCTGCCACTTCCTACTCTTCTAACTTGGGGCAAGTCACTTCAGGTCTCCAGGCCTCAGTTTCTTCATCTGTAAAATGAGGTTGTATTTGATAATGTAATGTCATATATTCATCTCTTAGAGATCATTTTATCTAAACTCCCAATGCCCTCCACTGAAGTCTTTTCCAGTCATAAGGCCCCTGTCAGGTCTGGAACCTATGATTCTATTATCTTGTCTTCATCTGATTTACCTTAATTCTCTGAGATCTTGTCCCCACTGCCTTGGCTAGATGAGTTATGTTCATATATCTTAGTCTTTATCCAATGAGTTATCTTACTAAAGTACAAGTATCTCAGCCCTTTTAGAATCTAGTCCCTTAATCCTTTTTTCTAGTTATAGAAGCCTTTTACTTTGATAAGCACTTCCTTTTCTATCATCCCCTCAGAGACTGAATGACGGACCATGACTTGGTAATGAGTTTTGTGTTCATTTCCTCAATCCCTGGATTCTTCTTCCTCTTGTCTAAGATTT